GAATTATTACAAGAATTGCTATAGTATTCCTTTTTCTCCCAAAAAGAAGATCATCCACTTTTACATGGCCATTGGCCCTTATATTTATGCATAGAAAAATGACATTTAAGTGGCTAATTAAGTATAATTATTCTATCTTAAATACGTCCGTTTCGGTTTCCGACTTTAATGCTCAACGTTCGAATTTGAATTGACTCTGACCTTCATGGGCCTCGCCTCTCAGCCCAATTAACCTTGAACCATCTTAACTGTGACTTAGACTCGCTTCGAAGTGCATTCACTTCAAACTCTCGAGGTGGTGTTACCACCTTGACCGCACTTCTAACTTATGGACCTCATCGGGCCTTATCCTTTGTGGGCCTTTACCTTGACTATGTGGCAATCTTTGGTTGGTCCCGGGCTACTGGTGTGGGATCCGACACCAACAGTCCCTTCCCTTTTTGGCTCTTTCCCATTATTCAGTACTAATTCTCATCTCTTGTTAAATAATCTCACTATAGATAGAATAAAGGTTCATGTAATCAAATTGATAGTCCGAAAATATTAGTAGTAAATTTATGGATAGATTAAAGTTTAGTAAAAAAAGGTTTATGTGAGTCTGGTTCATATTGTATGAAGCAAATTCACGTGCCAATTTCCCATGTGAAGCTTCCCCATGTTACATTTATATAATACTAGTAGGTTGTCCGCGCTACGCGCGGGAGTTTTTCCTACACTATAACATACTTCTTTTTTTTAATCTTAGATTGTGTTTGTATAGAAAACTTGTTGAATTTTAGCTTCAGTAGTGCTTGAGAAATTAAGTGTATAGTGTAGAATTTTAGCTTCACTTTTATTATTTGGTTTTGGTTTGGTTTGCTACAATCATTTCTATACTATTATATATTCAATTTCTGTTTTTTTTTGTTTTATAAATTTTGCCGTATTATCATATGGAATAATTTAAAATTTTAACATATTAAGATAATTTACTTTTTATTAGTTCATTTCATTGAATTATGTTTTTATTTTAATTTCCAATTATTTTGAAATATTGTTAATTTTTATTTTGTTTATTATTTTAACATATGTGATGATCTGAAGGTGTGTGTAGATTGGAACAAATGTTAGGTTGTCTTGTGATGAATATGGCTAAAGTTTTTAAGTAGAGTTTGGTCTCTAAGCATTCCACAATTACTAACTTGGACATTGAGTTCATTTGCTTTGTCTGCATGCTTTGGTTCTGAGTCCCCGCTTTCAAACCTCTCCTCCAGCTTGTTCTTAATTGTTTGCTTGAGGGCAAGCAAAGACTAAGTTTGGGGGAGTTGATATGTCTATATTTTACTTGTTTTGAGCATCCATTTAGCATCACTTTATCATCATTTCGTCATTGTTTCATACCATTCTTCATCATTTTTCATCACTTTGCATGATTAGGATAGATTTGCATGCATGTTGCATATTTGAGTTGTTTTCAGGTGATTTGGAGCTGTTGGTGAGCAAATTGGAAGAAGTGGACCAGAACCCATCAGTATGCTCGACCACGAGGTCGAGCACCATCATCATGACCTTCCAAATGCACTCGACCACGACCAAGTCGAGCACCAAGTCGATCACCAACTCGATCACCAACTCGATCACCAAGTCGAGCACCTAGTCGATCACTAACTCGATCGCCAACTCGAGCACCAAGTCGATCACCAAGTCGATCACCAAGTCGAGTACCCTCTTCTTCAGCCACTCGACTGGATGCTCGATCTCCACTCCCCACAGCCACTTAATCACAAGCTTCAGAGTCTTCTCAGATCCCAACTCAACCAGAGACTGAGCATAAGGAAGAGAAGAGGATGAAGCACTACTCGACTCACCACTCGACCTAGATACTCGATTGCATCACGACCAGATCAAGAAACCGCAAAGGCACCAGCTTTACTCGACCTCTCTACTCGATTGCACGAGCCGAATGTCTCCGTAAACCGCCTTAATACTTTGTCGTCTTGTGATTTAGGGTTTCCTAGTATTTACTATAAATAGGTTGTTTCTCTTAATTTTCAGAACTAAGTTTTATTCTGTCTAAGTTATTTTCTGCAGAACAATTAGTGCTTTCTTCATCTTTGTAATCCAGATTTCTCTTAATCTATTGAGTATTTGCTTTTGATTTCTTCTACAAAGTTGTTCATCTTGTTGAGATCTTGCTAGTATGAAGTTTTTATGCATTTCTGGGTTTATGTTCATGTTCATGAGTTTTGAGTAGTGATTAGGGTTCTTGAGGATGGGTTAGAGTAGTTTAGAATCCTTGATCTGCTAGGTGGTTGAGTTTGATTGGTAGATCCCTTCTGGATTAGTTGTTCTTAATGCTGATTGCTTTCTGATCAACTGGAATCTGAGCCCAGACATTTCCGCACCCAAAAGGTGTTCGACGAAATGTCTGAACCACTAATTCCAGAGATTCGTGGCTCTGTACCAAGGTATTGGTTACAAGGAGCGTTTTGGCTTAGACTTGTTGTTTCGTAATGCCTGTTAGGTTAGCTCTCGTCAATGGTGATTGAGTCTGGGACTAGCTTTGCTTGAGGATCTCTGTTGCGGTAGCACTTTGATTTGGCTATTGAACTTGTTGTCTAGGGATAGTTTGTTGAGCATGTTAACCACCTGTTAGATTAAGGAGACTTCACTACTCGATTACCCCATCCTCGGGAATTTCTCTTCCAATTGATTTCTTTGTTCACATCGCTATTGATTGCTTGATCTCGTTACTTGTTGCTTAGTTTTTGCATTTTTACTTATTTCACTTGAAGTACTCGACCACACCCAGCGGTTTGGAAACGAACTGTGTGGTAGAGTAGTTTTACTGCAGTTTCCATTTGGTACTCGACCTGTTACTCGACCACATCCAGTGTCTGGGAAACGAACTGTGTGGTAGAGTAGTTTTATTGCAGTTTCTGCTGTTACTCGACCTGATACTCGACCACACCCAGTGCTTGGCATCAGGCTGTGTTGGTCGAGTATATTAGCTATTTCTGTTATAATTTCTGTTTTTGCATGATCATTTAGGATTGTTAACAACATCAAAACCTGTTATTGCATGGCTTGACTCTGTAAAATCTGATTGCATCTTGATTGCTAGCATCACACCCATTTGGATTGACACCTTAAATACTGCAATGACATGATAGTGATTTAAGGATAATTGAAGTTAGTGAAAATCTTACTATCAATTTGGCGCCGTTGCCAATTGGGTGTTTGTTTCATATTACTTTTAGTGGATATATATTCATTATAAAAGTTTCACTTTAAAACTATAGTCTATTATTTATATATTAGTTTGTATAATCAAAAATTAATAAATTTATTATTTTTCAATCAATTATCTTCTTTAAGTTTATAATATAAAATATAAAAAAAAAGACTTTTCATATTCTTTTTTGAGAAACTTGTTTACATATGTGTATAACTTAAAATTAAATGATAAAATAATATAAGTAAATTCATAAACTTAAATAATTAAATGATGTGGATGATGATTAGGATGATGAGGTGGCTTAAGGAGAAGAGAGAAAAAGCCTACTTTATATATATATATATATAGAATCTTAAATTAATCAATCTTTTTCTCATATAATTGCTTTTTTCCTTCCCTACTCTTTATTAGTATCATTTATTTATTAGCCATTATCCATTATCCGCTGTTATATCCGTTCCTTTTATAACTCAGGTCATTTTTGATCTTTTAGATAGGGAAAATTCTCAAAAAAATCTCAAACTTTTTTTATTTTTGGAAGAAAAATACACGAGCTTTTCCGACTCCCCGATTAATACCCCAACTAATAAATTTATGTCGTTTAATACATCAGTTCTAAAAAATCTCCTTTTCCAACCTACACCGTAACGTCCGTTAACTAGTCTAACGTGAACAGTAAATGGAGTTATCTTTTAAACGGAAAAATTCTAAAAAATACCATATCTATTTTAAAGTTTGGACGTTTAATACAAGAACTTTTTGGTTAGAATAAAAATACTTCATATATTTATAGTTGGTTAAATAATACATCATCTCTAAATTATTGGTAGATTCAAACCCGCGACTTAACAACCGTTAACGGACGTTAGAAAATTATTTACGGCATTAACTTTTAATCTTACGTGTTTAAATAAATATATACAATCTGATTATATATACAATCCCTAATTTTTACTTCAATCTCTCCTCTTCAAAAAAATATACAATAGCATTTTCCTAATTCATAGTTTCTACACAACAACTTTTGTATTCAAGAATATTCGTTCTCATTAAATAAATAAATACTTGAGTGTGTGAATTTGACATCCACATTTTGGCGCCGCCTGTGGGGACGGAAGATTCTTGAGCAGTCGGATTTCCTTCACTACATTTCTGAGGTAAGCAGCAATGTCCGGAGGAGATATCCCTGATGCATCATTGGCCGAAACTCTCAAAGCCATGCAGCAAACCATGTCGGAAATGTCTCAGAAGTTCTCGAATGTGGAGAAGGCGGTTGACTCGTTACAAACAACCCAGGTATCTCTTAGCCAAAACGTCAGTACTATTCAATCTCGTGTTCGCTCTTTAAGTGCAGGAAACCACCCTGAAGTCCGAAGAAGAATGTTCAATTCGCCAAGCTCCCTTGCGCGAAATGAAACCAGCGAACATGTAACTCCCGATGCCGCCAATACAGTAGATCAGCCAGTGGACGGAGAGACGCAACTCAAAGACGAAGATCAACTTGTAGAACAGTACGAGCAACAAAGCCTTGACCAGTTCGAGACTATGAAAAAGGTTAGCCAAGAACTAAAGGAAATGAAGTCAAAGTTCCATCAGGCCACTAGTTCGGAACCACATATCAATCGAGTCATTGAAGAAGCTAGGCGAACACCTTTTATCTCGCGAATTGCAAGTTTGAGAATCAAAGATTCTCGGAAGCTGAAACTGGAGCCCTACAGTGGATTAGAAGATCCCAAAAGTTATCTCGCAGCCTTTTTCATTACCACTAGACGAGTCGAATTGGATGAAGCTGATGAAGATGCGGGGTACTGCAAACTCTTTTCGGAAAATCTTTGCGGCCAAGCATTAATGTGGTTTACCCAGTTAGAGCCAGGGTCAATCAGCAATTTTGAAGAGTTGTCAGCTGTTTTCTTGAAACAATATTCTATCCTTATGGATAGAAGTGTTTCGAACGCTGACCTTTGGAACCTATCACAAGGGTCGAATGAGTCACTTCGAGTTTTCATCACCAAATTCAAGGGGGTACTATCGAAGCTCCCAAGAATTTCACAATAGTCAGCTTTATCTGCCCTACGAAAAGGTTTGAGGCAAGATTCAAGGTTCAAAGAGGATCTAATACTTCATAAACCGGACACAATTCAAGACGCACTTTTCCGCGCAAACAATTGGATGGAAGTAAAAGATGAAAAAGAAAATTTCGCCAAAAGGAATAAACAAGAAAAACCGGCGGTCACTTTTCCTACCAAGAAGTTTGAGCCCAGGGAAAACAATTGACCAAGAAGGTTTGGGTCACAGCCTTTCAACAATATCGTCAAAAACAATTCCAAGGAAAAAGAAAGTCGAACACGTGGGTCCGTGACGAAAGTTTATACTGTGACATCCATAAGGTAACCGGGCATTTGACCAAAGATTGCAGCATCCTTAAAAGGCATCTCGCGGAGCTATGGGCCAGTGGAGATCTTTCCAAATTCAACATAGAAAATTTCGTGAAAGAATACCACGAAGCAAGGGATAGCACCAAAGATCAGAACTCCAAGAGACCAAGATTTTCTAATGAAGAAGAACCAAGGAGTTCGAAGAGAAAGATCAATGTAATTCTAGGGGGTTCCAAACTTTGTCAAGATTCGATTAGTTCCATCAAGAAGCATAGGCGAAATGTTTCACTCAAAGCGAACTTGGGCGAAGAAGTTGACTTTCAAGGTGCATCAATATCATTTGATGAGGAAGAAACGCGTCACCTCGAAAGACCCCATGATGACGCCCTCGTCATTACCCTGGACGTTGCCAATTTCGAAGTATCAAGGATCCTCATCGATACAGGCAGTTCGGTCGACTTTATCTTTTTAAGTACTTTGGAAAGAATGGGAATTAGTCGGGGAGACATAGTAGGACCTTCACCTACTTTGGTGGCGTTCACAAGTGAGTCAGCTATGTCTCTCGGTACGATCAAGCTACCAGTTCTCGCCAAAAAGGTGTCGAAAATCGTGGATTTCGTTGTTTTCGATAAACCGGCAGCTTACAATATCATCCTCGGGACTCCATGGATTTATCAAATGAAGGCAGTCCCCTCTACATATCACCAGTGCATCAAATTTCCAACACCAAGTGGAGTGGAAACAGTTCGGGGAGATCAATAAGCTTCGCGAACATGCTACTTAGCTAGCCACCGTTTGAAGATCCAATAGCAATTAACGAAGCCCGCAAAAAAGGGAATAATTCCAAGATTTCCTAGTGGGCAGAAAGAGGATGATGTAGTAACCGAGGTAGTATTAGAAGAAGACAAACCAGATCGGAAAATCCGAATTGGAGTTACTTTGACCGGCAAAATAAAAGAGGCTTTAATTGAACTTTTGAGGAAAAAAAGACATCATTTGCGTGGTCGGCGACAGATATGCATGGCATAGATCCAGGCATAATTTGTCATGAACTTAACGTGGATCCGAGCTTCAAACCTGTAAAACAAAAAAGGAGAAAAATCGGAGTAGAGCGAGCAAAAATAGTAAATGACGAAGTGGACAAACTTTTAAAGATAGGATCCATAAGGGAAGTGCAGTATCTGGAGTGGGTAGCGAACACGGTCGTGGTTAAAAAGAAGAATAGAAAGGACAGGGTATGCATTGACTTCATGGATCTCAATAAGGCGTGTCCAAAGGATAGTTTCCCGCTTCCGCATATAGACCGGCTCGTAGAATCTACTGCTGGGAATGAACTATTAACCTTCATAGATGCCTTCTCGGGTTATAATCAAATAATGATGAATTCCGAGGACCAGGAAAACGTCATTCATCACAGATAGAGGTATTTATTGTTATAAAGTAATGCCTTTTGGTTTAAAAAATGCAGGAGCAACTTATCAACGGTTGGTCAATAAAATGTTCCACGATCATCTCGGGAAGACAATGGAAGTCTACATAGATGACATGTTGGTTAAGTCGTTGAAGAAAGAAGACCACATTAAACACTTGGAAAACTGTTTCAAAATTCTTAATCAATATCAAATGAAGCTAAATGATATGTCTATATTTTACTTGTTTTGAGCTTCCATTTAGCATCACTTTATCATCATTTCGTCATTGTTTCATACCATTCTTCATCATTTTTCATCACTTTGCATGATTAGGATAGTTTTGCATGCATGTTGCATATTTGAGTGTTTTCAGGTGATTTGGAGCTGTTGGCGAGCAGATTGGGAGAAGCAGAGCAAAACCAACAGTATCACTCGACCTGCACAGTCGAGCACTCTCAGCAGCCAGCCTCTCAAGATCACTCGACCACATCTCCTCATCACCAAGTGGATTGCGCGGTCGAGCATCACCAGCAGACTCTTCAGATCACCACTCGACCTTGTCTTCAGATGACCACTCGACTGACCACTCGACCTCGTGATCGAGTACCCTCTCCTTCACCAACTCGACCTACCACTCGACCTCGTGGTCGAGCACCATCTTCTTCAGCCACTCGACTGGATGCTCGATCTCCACCCCCCCACAGCCACTTAATCACAAGCTTCAAAGTCTTCTCAGATCCCAACTCAACCAGACACTGAGCATAAGGAAGAGAAGAGGATGAAGCATTACTCGACTTACCACTCGACCTAGGTACTCGATTGCAACACGACCAGATCAAGAAACCGCAAAGGAGCCAGCTTTGCTCGACTTCTTCACTCGATTGCACGAAGCCGAATATCTCCGTAAACCGCCTTAATACTTTGTCGTCTTGTGATTTAGGGTTTCCTAGTATTTGCTATAAATAGGTTGTTTCTCATAATTTTGAGACTAAGTCTTTTTCTGCAGAACAATTAGTGCTTTCTTCATATTTGTAATCCAGATTTCTCTTAATCTATTGAGTATTTGCTTTTGATTTCTTCTACAAAGTTGTTCATCTTGTTGAGATCTTGCTAGTATGAAGTTTTTATGCATTTCTGGGTTTATGTTCATGTTCATGAGTTTTGAGTAGTGATTAGGGTTCTTGAGGATGGGTTAGAGTAGTTTAGAATCCTTGATCTGCTAGGTGGTTGAGTTTGATTGGTAGATCCCTTCTGGATTAGTTGTTCTTAATGCTGATTGCTTTCTGATCAACTGGAATCTGAGCCCAGACATTTCCGCACCCAAAAGGTGTTCGATGAAATGTCTGAACCACTAATTCCAGAGATTCGTGGCTCTGTACCAAGGTATTGGTTACAGGGAGCGTTTTGGCTTAGACTTGTTGTTTCGTAATGCCTGTTAGGTTAGCTCTCGTCAATGGTGATTGAGTCTGGGACTAGCTTTGCTTGAGGATCTCTGTTGCGGTAGCACTTTGATTTGGCTATTGAACTTGTTGTCTAGGGATAGTTTGTTGAGCATGTTAACCACCTGTTAGATTAAGGAGACTTCACTACTCGATTACCCCATCCTCGGGAATTTCTCTTCCAATTGATTTCTTTGTTCACATCGCTATTGATTGCTTGATCTCGTTACTTGTTGCTTAGTTTTTGCATTTTTTACTTATTTCACTTGAAGTACTCGACCACACCCAGCGGTTTGGAAACGGACTGTGCAGTCGAGTACATTTGTTGCAGTTTTTTGTTTGGTACTCGACCTGGCACTCGACCACATCCAGTGCTTGGCATCAAGCTGTGTGATCGAGTGTGTTATCTGTTTCTGTTAGAATTATTGTTTTCTGCATGATCACTGGAACTGTTAACAACATCAAAACCTGTTATTGCTTGGCTTGACTCTGTGAAATCTGATTGCATCTTGATTGCTAGCATCACACCCATTTGGATTGACACCTTAAATACTGCAATGACATGATAGTGATTTAAGGATAATTGATCTTAGTGAAAATCTTACTATCAATTTGGCGCCGTTGCCATTTGGGTGTTTGTTTGTTACATTTGAGATTTCAGACTTGCTTAGATCAAGTTCTATTTCAATTTTCACTTAGGTTACTAACTTTTTGTTTTTCTTGTTGTCTTCTTGATCTAGGTACAACCCTGCTGTATGCAAACTCGATCAAAAGGCAACCAGAACCTCCTTTTCAACGATAACATTGACCGTATTGACAGAGAACTAAGGGAAAGGAGAGACACTACAGACCTTGAACACAACCATCCTTTCAGAATGGCTGATGAACAAGATGTCAACAATCTGCCTGCAAACATTGGTGCTGGAGATGCACCAAGAAACCACCATCAGAGGCAAGGAATTGTGCCTCCTGCTGTCCAAAACAACAACTTCGAGATTAAAAGTGGTCTCATCTCGATGATTCAAGGAAACAAGTTCCATGGTCTGCCTCTGGAAGATCCCTTAGACCACTTGGATAACTTCGACAGGCTCTGCAGCCTAACCAAGATAAACGGTGTTAGTGAGGACAGTTTCAAGCTGCGCCTGTTTCCCTTCTCACTGGGAGACAAAGCACACCAATGGGAAAAGACATTACCTGCTGGCTGTTGGTGTCGGATCCCGCACCAGAAGTACGCGACCAACCAAAGATTGCCACGTAGTCAAGCGGGTGGCCCATAAAGATGAAGCCCATTGGGCCCATGAACCGAGGGGACGGTCAAAGTGGTTGTCACCACTTCGAGAGTCCGAAGTGACTGCACTGAGATGTGAGTTCGGTAAATAAGACGCGGATAGGTCGGTTCAAGGACACTTGGGCCAAAAAGGCGAGGCCCACAAAGATCAGAGTCAACTCAAATTCAAACGTTGAGCATTAAAGTCGAAGAATCAAAACGGACACATTTAAGAGGGAATAATTGTACTTAATTATTCATTTTAATGTTAAATTCTCTATGTATAAATATAGAGGCCAATGGCCATGTAAAGGGGATCTTCCTCTCAAGAGAGAAATAATATAGCAATTCTAGTATCAAATTTACAAGTTCTTACGTATTCATTTTTGTCCCTCAAGAATAATCTTTCCCACTTAACAAAATACTTGAGTGTGTAAATCCGACATCCACATTTTGGCGCCGTCTGTGGGGACATCAGGATTCTTGAGTGGTCAGATTTCTTCTTTTCTACATTTCCGAGATAAGCGACAATGTCCGGAGGAGACGCCGTTGAAACATCATTGGCCGAAACCCTCAAAGCTATGCAGCAAACCATGTCGGACATATCACAAAAGTTCTCAGATGTGGAGAAGGCCGTCGATACGTTGCAAACATCCCAGGTATCTCTTAGCCAAAACGTCAATAATATACAAACTCGTGTTCGCTCTTTAAGTGCAGGAAACCCGGTGGGGACCCGAAGAGGGATATTCAACTCGCCAAGTTCCGCTGCACGAAATGAAACCAGCGGACAAACAACCCCCGGTGCTACTAATAATGTAGCTCAGACGTTGGAGGAAGAGACGCAGCTCGGAGATGAAGAACAACTTGCAGCTCAGTATGAGCAGGAGAACCTCGACCAGTTCGAGACCATGAGGAAGGTTAGCCAGGAATTAAAAGAAATGAAATCAAAATTTCATCAGGCTACAAGTTCGGAGCCAGACATCAATCGAGTCATTGAAGAAGCAAGGCGAACCCCTTTTATCCCGCGAATTGCAAGTTTGAGGATCAAAGAT